GGATCATGACCTGAGCTGAAGGCAGTCACTTAACTGAGCCACCCAGCACCCTTGGACTTCATTTCTACATTTCTGATGATCCATTGGATATGTAACTCAGTGTTCCACTCCATATTTAACACAAGCGAAAATGAATCTTTTCCATTCTCCCAAATCAGTAACTGACTTCCCTCTTCCACCCAATGGGGTTGCTATTCTCTTGGCTGCCCAGGCTCCATGCTGCTCCCACATCACATCACATCCTACGATTTCTTCCTTCAACACACCAATATCATGTCTTCATGACATTATGAATTTGTAGAGAGATTTGGGAATGTTTGCTAACTGAAATTTCTTTTTTTTTAATTGTTTTTTGTTTTGTTTTTAAAGATTTTATTTATTTGACAGAGAGAGAAAGACAGCACAAGGGCAGAGCAGCAGGTAGAGGGAGAGGGAGAAGCAGGCTCTCTGCAGAGAAGGGAGCCCAATGTGGGACTCGATCCCAGAACCCTGAGATTATGACCCTAGTCAAAGGCAGCCGCTCAACCAACTCAGCCACACAGGCACCCCAGTTAACTGAAATTTCTATGCCTCACTTTTTCCATCACTCCTGCAAGGTTAAAAATATACACCAGGATTATTCTGAAAATTATAATCATGAACTAATGTGCAGAAGAACCTAACAGCACCTAGGTTCTGTGTGTTGTTTTCTTCCCTGTCTTCCATTACCATGGCCAAAATTATAGTAGCGTCCCTCGTAATATCCCATCTAAATGACTACACTGATTTCTAAACTCTGCTTTTACTCTTTTTCCAAAACACTATTTGGTTCGCATTATGATCTTATCCAAAAGTCTTTAATGACTAATTTTTAAAACACAGGTATCTAAAGTCAGATAAACATTTCTTATTAAACTATAAACTCTTTCAAGTAGGACAAGGTCTTCTGTGTATTTTTTTTAAAATAGGAAGTGATTAAGGGCATCTTTTTTTTTTTTAAAGATTTAATTTATTTATTTGACAGACAGAGACCACAAGTAGGCAGAGAGGCAGGCAGAGAGGGAGGGGGAAGCAGGCTCCCTGCTGAGCAGAGAGCCCGATGGGGGTCTTGATCCCAGGACCCTGGGATCATGACCTGAGCAGAAGGCAGAGGCTTACCCCACTGAGCCACCCAGGCGCCCCCATCTTTTTTTTTTTTAAAGAATTTATTTATTTATTTGACAGAAATCACAAGTAGTCATAAAGGCAGGCAGAGAGAGGGGGAGGAAGCAGGCTCCCCGCTGATCAGATAGCCCAATGCGGGGCTCGATTCCAGGACCCTGAGACCATGACCTGAGCCAAAGGCAGAGGCTTCAACCCACTGAGCCACCCAGGCGCCCCTCTTCTGTGTATTATTAGCTTTCTCTGAAGAACATGGAATGCACCAGGGGCTCAGTGAATATTTTTTCCAAAAAATTAATAAAATGATGATTGTATCTAAAAGTGTATTAAGAGGAGTGCCTGAGTGGCTCAGTCGTTAAGCATCTGCCTTCGGCTCAGGGTCCTGGGATCAAGCCCCACGTCAGTCTCCCTGCTCAGCAGGGAGTCTGCTTCTCCCTCTCTCACTCCTCCTGCTTGTGTCCCCTCTCTCACTGTCTCTCTCTGTCAAATAAATAAATAAAATCTTTAAAATAAAAGTGTGTTAAGAATATGAAAACTTGGGGTGCCTGGGTGGCTCAGTGGGTTAAGCCACTGCCTTCGGCTCAGGTCATGATCCCAGGGTCCTGGGATTGAGCCCCACAGAGAGCCCGCTTCCTCTCTCTCTCTCTGCCTGCCTCTCTGCCTACTTGTGATCTCTGTCTGTCAAATAAATAAAATCTTAAAAAAAAAAAAAACACCTTATTTTTAGCATACTAAAGCATACATGTTGAATTTCAGTTCTGACCTTCCTATGGTCTTTCTTAAATCACTTCGAATATTTGGCAGCAATTTGCTTGACCGTTTTAGGTGTCAGAAGCAATGATGGGGGCCTTCATCTCCCGGTATGTTTCTACATTCTTTGATGAGATAAACTCCTCGAATGAGATGTATACCGCTTCACAGTCATTGCACATGCTCACTGGAGGGGAGCACTATCAATAGGCAAGTTCTAGATTCAATTCATCCTGTATTTGTTAATCCTAGTTTGAGTCAAAAGTTAATATGGAACATATTCCAGCCTTTTTTCAAAGGCTGGAATATGTTTCAGTTATGCTCTACCACACTTACCCTAAAACAGCTGTTCTTAAATTTCTAAATGTATATGAATGACTGTAGATCTGTGCTGTCCAATACAGTAGCCACTTGCCTGCCATACAATAATGGGACTCTTGAAATGTGGACAGTCAAACCAAAATGTGCTGTGACTGTAAAATACACACTAGATTGCAAGGATTGAATACAAAAGAGGAATGTAAAATATCTCAATAACTTGTACTAATCGTGTAGTGAAATGAAAATATTTTTATTATATTGCATTAAATAAAATGTATTAAAAGTAATTTCTGATTCTTTTATTTTTTAAAGTGTGGCTACTACAGTATTCAAAATTAAATATGCAACTCACATTTGTGGTTCATCTTATGCTCTTGTTGAACAGCTTTGGCTCATATGCTTGTTTGAAATGTTTCCTGGCTCCCATTTTTGGAGATTCTACTTTGGTAGTTGCAAGTTTAGGCACAGAAATCTGTTTGTTTTTTTTTTTTTTTAGCTCTCCAAGTAATTCAATTGATAATTCAGGGTAGGGAATCATTGTTTTCTACTGCTTTTGACCAGGTGATTTTGGTAGTCTCCAATACAGCAGTGATTCAAATATAACAGAGTAACAGCTTTCAATTTCAGTGGTGTAATAATGGTCATCCCATAAAGTCATATGTATGTTTTTTAGTTAGCAAAACACTCTTCAAAATATAAACACAACATGACCATTTTGTGGGAATGGAAGGATGGTAGGAACAATTAAGCAATATCTATCAGAAACTTAAGTGACTCACTTCTAGAAACCGATCTTGCAGATCTTCTCACAAGCTCACTATATCTGAAATTCACTTCAGCACTATTTGAAATTGAAAAACTGGAAACTGAGGAAATAAATTACCATACATCCAACTGAATATTACACAGCTGGAAACAATAAGTTCGTCTAGGGGCACCTGGGTGGCTCAGTGGGTTAAAGCCTCTGCCTTCAGCTCCGGTCATGAGGGAGCCTGCTTCCTCCTCTCTCTCTGCCTGCTTCTTTGCCTACTTGTGATCTCTGGCTGTCAAATAAGTAAATAAAATGTTAAAAAAAAAAAAAAGTGGAATAAGTTCGTCTATATGTACTGATATAGAGAGTAATCTAGATTTATCGGAGGGGCAAGGCAAGTTGCAGAAAAGCATATAGATCTTATCTGCAGATATGAAATATGAAAAAATATGCACCTATATTTATATATGCATAGAACTTTTAAAAATATTAACAGTGGTTACTGTTAACAGTGGGGAGAGTCCCAGTGATATGGAAAGGAACGTTTTGTTTTATACCCTTTTGTACTGTTTTAGTTTCTTCACTATGAGAAACATGTAAATATACATTTACATTACAAAATACTGTTTAAAAAATCTACATAATGTCTAGCTAGGCAAATAATCACTTCATCACTTAGGTTCCTGTTACAGAAATTTGCTTTTCACTATTACCTTTTAATCTGCAGTCCGGTCTTTAATTTTCTAAGTTTTCTAAGTTAATTTTCTAAAAGGCCATCATATATATTCTTTCATTCTTTCAACCATTCGTTACCGACAACCTACTTTATGCCAGACCGAACACTGTTCTAAAGCGGAACAATAAAGAACGGACACAAAATGGTATGTTCCTTACAAACGGGTAGGACAATAAACAAAACCAAACGTAAATAATCATTAGTCATGAGTGTCATGAAGACCTGAATTTTCAGATTCTAGAATGTTCAAATGTCATGTGTGCTTGCGTGTGCATATACACGTATTCGCTCACACATACTAATTAATACAATCATTGCTACTGAATTTTTTTTTAGCCATTTGTATGTAGTATTCGGGGTAGTTCTCAAATTTAACTTTCTCCTGCACTCATTTTAGCGAACTTAGCACAAAGAAATTAAAAACTGCAAAATTTTTCAGTTGTACGATTTTAAGCAAATTAGCTGCTTTAGGGCCTCAGTCTTCTCCTCTGCCAAATGGGGTATTTACCTCTCAGGTTGGCTGTCTCGGGAATTCTAGGTGCTGACCGCGTAACTGCAGTGCCTGGCACAAGGAAACGCGGGGGTGGGGTAGGCTCCTGCAGGGCAGGGAGCACTGAGGCGCCCACACTGGGGCGCAGCTGGGCCGCGTGCAGCGCCGCCGGCCGGCTCTCTGGGGAGGCGCGGTATTCTCGCCGAGGACTGCAGGAGAAATGCTACGTTTTCAGGTGCTTTTTTCACCCGAGCACTTCCGCAGGCCAATTTCTCCTTTCGGGAGTGCGGGGGCCAGTGCCCGCCCGCTCTTGCAGAGCCCGCTGGGCGTCAACTCCCTCCCGGCGCCGGCCCGCTAACCAGTCCGATTTCTTGAGAGAGTCGTACGCTGAGGCCGCCCTGCGCTGCAAAACCCCCGGCCCAGAGCCGGCCAATCTGTTCTGGGCAGACTTGGCCCGGAGCTGGCGGTAGTCTCGCCTCCCAACTGCAGCAGTTAGTTTGAATTCTGGCGCCACTCCCACGCCACGTAGAGCCAGACTCGACAGCGACCGCACACCGCGCGCAGCGGGCGCGCACCGGGGACTGGGCGAGCGTCCGGCGGGCGGCCGACGCGCGCACCACGCCCCGGAACCAGCCCCCGAAAGAAAAGAGCCGCCGCGCGCGCTCCCGCTCTCCTCCTTCAGGAAACGGCCACGCCCCGTCTTCTCCCACGTCCAATAGACGCGAGGGGGCGTGGCGACCTCTGCCTGACTCAGGAGAGGCTATAAAGGGAACTGCTGGAGACGCAGCTCGGTCTTTTACCTCTGGACTTGCGAAGTGTGGTCTTGCTTTTGGGTGAGTGGGCCTCGCGGGCGAGTACCTGGCGGGCGAAGTTGGCGCGGGCTGAAGTTTGCTGCAGCTCACTGAGATTTTAGACCTTTGAGCTTGGGTTGCTCTGGGTTCGAAAGTTGCACATGGGAAACACGCAGCCAGACCGCCACGTGTCCTGCGTAATGGTGGTGGCGGCGGCGGCGGCAGGCTTCGAGCTTAGGCGTGCGGAGGCTGGTGCTGATCGCCACGAGCGCTGCGCGCGGCCTAGTTAAGCAAGGGCCAACACCCGGATGGTGGAACCTGGGCGGCGGCGGCGTTAGAATAACCATATCCCCGGGATTTGGGGCAAAGACTTAGTTTTACATTGGGAATAAGAGGTCTTTACTAATTAGACGATTGTTTTTCTTTCTCGTCGCAGATCAAAAGATCGGTTGAAAATGGGCAGTCCCCGACCTTGTCTGAGATTGAGCTGTGCTGTGCCCAGATGGCGCTGTGTGCAAACCAGATTAGTAAAAGAGGCAGGCTTCTGGCATTCTGTGAAAATGCTTAATCTTCAAAATAATTGGTCCGCTGCGGGAACGGTGGGCTCTCAGTGGTGTAAAGGAGCTGTTACCCGGAGATGTTGAGGTAAGTACGATTGAGAGCTTAGTTTTTAAACTGAAGAAGTAAACCTGTTGATACACAGGAAAAGATGTATCCTTGAAATTTTCTTAATAGGTGCAGGGGGAAATTCCAAAACACGTGAGAGAATATTTGCTAGGAAATGGCTTGATTGGAACCTGACAGTCTTAACTCAGGTATGTGTTGGGCTAGTACTTGAATTCAGTATGTTTAGTCCATAATGTAGATGAAGTGAAGAAATTTTTTTGTTCTCAAAACAGCATCCTGGAGATTGATGAACAATAATGGAGCTGTTAATGTCACTGAGGAGCAACCTTACTTTAAAGTAAGTTGTGTGGTTTACAAAATCTACACTATTTCTGGTACCGTACTTCCCATTTAACATTTTCTATGGATTATGGTCTAATCAATGATGAAACCTATCCCGAAGCTGACTACCTGAAGAAAAGCATGTACGGATTCGGCTTCTGAGATAAGACCAATAACTTTTGTTGTCTAGATTTTATAAATGAGAAGGTTCTGTGAGGTCATAAACCCTGTAGGGAGAAAACTGCTACCTCACAATGATGTACAATGGGTTTTATTGTGGGGTTTTGTTTTTTTTTGTTTTTTTTTCTTTGCCAACAGTGAGGTGTCGCTGTCTGCCCATGGAAAGAGGCCAGTTTGCAGAAACCTTCCTAAGGCATAACTCATTTCTGTGAGTGGAGATTTTTTATTTAACAGTTGGTCAGTATTTTGTCCTTGGTCTTAATCTGTGATGATCTTATCCCGAACCTGAATATCTTGTTGAGAAAACTTATACGGATCTGGCTTCTGAGATAGACCATTATGAGGACAAAGATTTTTTTTTTTTTTTTTTAAAGAATTCTTTTGCTCCTCTGATGTTAATAGTCTTGTAAATCTCAAATGTTTTTCCTTTTCTAGGGCAAATGCCACCAGATTTACTTGTATGAAAAACATAAGGAAAAGTTCTTCATTTTACTGGCATGGGAAGAAAACCTACAAATCAAGACAATGTATTTTTATTTTTGTAAACATTAATCAAATTGAATGTATCCATAAGAATTAAGCCTTTTACATTTGTCACACTGCCCTAGTCACAACTTGTTAGTCAAATTGCTTTGTAGATCTATTTGTAATTCTATTTTAAATACGGGAATGTGTAGAAAACTAATTTTTATGAAGTCTTTTTTTTTTTCTCCAGTTAACCAGACTTGTAATCAGATCACTCTGAATGCTTTGCCTTTCGTCACCTGTTTGAATTTAAAATGTGTGAATGTAATTAAAGCTGAGTGAAAATTGGAGTATTGCGGGGAAATCCTTGGGGTTTTTTTGGAGAATAGACTTGGTTTGGCAGTATCACTGAATAAGTACAAATCATCTTGGCTTTTTGTGTGGTACTAAATATTCCTGGGCTAATGGTGAGCAAAATGGAGATACTGCCTGTTAGGGAGAGAAAAATACCAGGTATCAAAATGATCAGTGATTACTGGTCCTAATTGCAATTGTATTTTGAAAGGATGCTCAAGATGGGAAATGTAGAATGCTGAAAATGAAGAGAGCACAGCGTAACAATTATGGGTAATGGGGGAAGATAAGGGAGTTTAAAGTAGTCAAACATTGTACAGAATGTAGACTGTAATAGCATCTGATGTAACCAAGATGGGCCCCATGCATGATCATTTTCCCTAAGTAGCTGCATAAGTAAGTTGTTCCTAAGCCCATACTTCTGTGCCAGTCAAAGTAATAGAATTTTTGTCAGCTTATAATGAGCTGTATTTTTCCCTAAAATATTTTCCTGGCTTTTAGTGAAAATTCAGTTTTGTACCCATGTAGCTCAGAAGAGGCTCATGAGACTGACAAGCATGTTCGGTTATTGGTCAGGCACAGAGTGGATTTACTCAAGTATTAAAATGGTGTACAAAATACATTGGAAATAGTTTATGGCAGCCAAACTAGAATATAAGTATTAATGCCACCACATAGAGATCAAGTATTCTGAGTCCCTGCACACTATTAAACTATAGGTTCAATGAATTACAAGTTGTCTGCAGGAAATACAAACCAGTCTTTGGATAGGAAGTGTGAGGTGTCTACGTAAAGACTAGGGTGTGGTCCCTTTAATGAGGCCTTAAGACTTGAAATCCAGCAATGGGAAAAGCCGTTTGGCATAATGGATTACACATGGTATCTTGATGTTACCAGAAGGAATTGGGAAAGCTGTGTTGCTTTAAGACTATCACTTAGAAACTTTTGAAGATCAGTGGTATAATGTATATGATGTGGAGTGATTTGGCAAAATATTAACTACTGAAGTTGTAATTCCTCAATGCTATTCCTAAATTAAAGAGGCTTTGGATTAATGACCTTGTTAGTTGCATTTATTCAAAAAACAAATGTGCCTACATTATATAAATCAGTGTTTCTTTACGTTTGGTTTTAATCACCCAAGATCTTAAGTACCTAGATACCTTAGCTACCTAGTTGGCACTTATTTGCATGCTAAATGTTAGGTGTACATAATATTACTGCAGTAGATGATAGAAGCAAGGTCTGCACAAAATTTTCAGGGAAGTGTCTGCCCTTTTGTCAAAGCTGGCACACAGGACTTGAAAACAAGTTGTGAAATTTGCCTTGGGAGCACTCTGACCTCCTTTCCTGCAGTTGTGTTATTGCTCACTTCTCACAGTTTTTTCTGGTAATGTCACATTTCTTCAGTTGATAGACTCCGAATCAAGTTTATGTATTGTACTGTACTGGGCTCTAATAAGGAGGTCAGAAGTAAAACACTTCCCTGTGTCCTCTGTTAATAGTGGTACAAAGTGACAAAAGACGAGCTATAATAAAAGTACTGTGAGAGATACTTAATATCTGAGGCAATTGAACAGTGGATTTGAATCAAAACCAACCCAGAGATGTGAGGAATATAAATCTTTAGGTATAAACACTTGAGGTAAGGATTGTATGCCCCAGGACCTGAGAGTGATGAATTGGGAATTTGGGTATCAATTGGGTGGTCAGATATGGGACAAATAAAGTGGAAGATAAGGCTGAAGTGTATTGGGGCAACTGTAAAGCTATGGTCATTGAATTACCTAAAACTTGACTTTTTTTTTCAGTGGGAAGACCTAGAGCAGAAAATCACATAATTTAGTCCCTTTTGGTTCTGCAGAGTCCATACTTGAACAAATCAGGACCAAAAAGGTACAATTTAGTAAAATTAAGCTTGGAACTTTAACATATAATTAACATCAGCTTCCATTAAAATGGAAAACAACTACTAGATTTGGATGATGTTTTTTCATTCACACAATGGAGTTTTGGCTGTTAGAGTCTACTAGCCTTATCCTTTGGGAATCTAACACACCAGGTAATACCTTTATATTAACAAATAGGTAACTACTAGTTACAAAGGGGACCTTAAGTTACCTGGATAAGGGCCTTAACCTTTCTGAGCATATGTGCGACTTAATATAGAACTTAATGGAGACTTAAAGACTTAAGGAATAAAGGAATATGGCTATAATAGACTGGGATCTGCATGGTTAGTACTGATTTCAGATTTTGAAGGAGCAGTCTATGTGTGTGGCTTTAGCCAATAGGAATTCTTTTCTATGCTTTCCATCATGCTTCCAGGTTATCTTCAAATATGGTAGGCTTAGACCTACCATTTGGTGCTTTCTAAAACTAGTTCTATAATATCCAGTGCACCTGGCTGCCCAATCAAGTATTCTCTGAAGTGATTATGCACCTTATAAATCCTTACTGTTTGCTCAACCCGTAGGAAATCTTGTGCTTGGGCTCAGATTTTTAACACCACTTGCTCAGTTAGAATCTTTAGTTGAATTAGAGCCTGCTAGGATAGTCTGCCTATCTTTTGCTAGTACTTCCTCCCTGGGGATGAGACCCTCTTAATCATGTTTCCTCCCAAAAGCTTGATTCAGGATACTCAGAGCATGGTATTTAGTATTCATAATTGCCTAATTGAATATTGCCACTGCCTCTAGTCTCACTCCACCTCACTGATTCTATGTATTTGGATATGTACAGAGATCAGATCAAAGCACAGGTTTGCCATGCAGTTCTGGAAGCTTTGTGGACCATCTTAGGGTGGAGGAGAGGGTGTCTTTACAAAATGAAAACCAGACTTCTCTCTCATTCTCACAAATCCTGACCTCTTCCCTTTACTACTAGCACATCACTAAAGTCCTGGCATGACATGTGGCTGAGTTATAACAGGAAATAAGGATTTAATCTCACAGAATCCCAAATTAGATGTAGTATAATCTAACCTATTTGGGAACTTTATCTTAGTTATGTTTACTCAGTTGGTTCTAGTTCTTTTCAAGAGTGTTAATAATCGAAAAAGCTTTTAAGAATACTCAAAATTTATCATTTGAATACAATAAGATTTAAAATACAGTGCATTACTTTAGTGAGGGCAGTTAACTATTGACCTACCTACCATTGCCTCCTAACTATTGATACAACAAATTGTATGGTTTTAAATATACAGTTTGGCAAGTTTTTCCGTTGATATACACCCATGAAATAATTACCACAGTCAAAATAATGACCATCCGTTTCTCACAAGTATTATATTGCAGAGGCTTGATTTTGAACATGTTAGATTTGAGATGGAATCTAATATCCAAATGAAATTTTGAGTTAGGTAGAGAAGTTTGGAGCTCAAGGAAGAGATCTGAGCTGGAGAAATAAAATTGGAGTCATCAGCATGTGGATGGTATATTTAAAGCCATAAGATTAGATGAGATCACCAAGGAGTGAATATAAAGAGAAAAGAAGCAGTCTATAAGAGTTGAGTCCTGGAACATTTCAAGAGTAGGGAATTCCAGGATTAGTTAAAATCCTAGAGGTTATTTTGTGCCAAGGAACAAAAATTGGGAAGTAGAAATCTGTTAAGTGCAACTGCCATATCAGGAGCAGAAACGAGATGAAAAGTAAAGGAGTTCTGAATGGAAAGCAAGGATGAAAACTAGCAAATAATTGCTTGGGTTATAGGGCTGGAGATAGCCTTGATTTAATGCAGAGCCTTAGCATGGAAATTGAACGAGTTAGTATCTGAACTTTCCTGGTCAAGTTCCAGGAAAGAATGAGATAAGGAATCTAGGAAGTATGCTAGGGTGTTCATCAGACAGTATCTATTTAGAGAGGTGGAGTTAGCTACAGACAGGTTTGTTTTATAGTGCAAAAGTGCCTGCTGAAGCTGAAAACTACCAATTTTAATAGTTAATCAGCATAATTCTTACTATTCTATGGGGCTTATCTGCCTGGGAGAAGAAAGCAGATCAGTGAATTAATCCAAAATTAGGAGTAAACTGGCCAGGAGGAGCAAAACAATGACAAGCCAAGGGCACTGAGGATGTAGATAAAACTTAAAATTATTAACCTTGAGATCCAGGCTGAATAGGGGGAAAAAAGTGAGGGTCCCAAGTAAGACAAAGATCAGACGTACCATGGAAAGATGCTGATGAAAACTAGGTAAAATAAGGTCCTCTCCACTGAAACTACAAAATGACCCATAGCATGTTGTATTCTGATTATTGGTTTATCGCTTTCTGGCCCTAGAATGTGAAGTCTTTACCCTTTAATCTCTTAAATTCTGTCTAAGACAATGTAATGGCTCCTATAAAAAATAATCTAAGTAGAATTCAGTTTGTATATTTAGGGCAATTATGATGTGATTTAACTTCTCCAAAAGGGGTAAAAGAAAATGAGAAAAGTTAGAAGATGTTAAGGACAAATATATGTATCCCCCAAAATTAATATGTTGAAGCTGTAGCCACCTAGGGTGGCTGTATTTGGAAATAGAGCCTCAAAAGAAGTAATGGAGTTTAAATAAGCTCGTAAGGGGAAGACTCTGATCCAGGAGGAAGAGTGTCTTTACTAAAAAACAAAAATAAGAAAAAAAAAAAAAACACCAGAGAGCTCATTCTCTCCCTCTCCCCAGCAGACCCACAAAGCAGAGGTCGCATGAGCACATAATACGATAGTGACCACCCACAA